GGCCAAACTTCCAGGGAATCGAAAGGGAGTCTATGACCTCTGGTCTGTCTGCAGGGTTCAGAGATGCAAATCTTCTTGTTTTCTTGTTTGATATTGAAGCCATAAGGTCTATTTCTGGATAATCTTTCTTTGTTATTTGACTGAAGATCTTGGAAGAAAGGGACCAATCTGCTTGCTTTTAGAGTGTCTGCCAGCACGTTGAATTCTCCGTTTATGTGAACCACTGAAATTGACAGAAGGTGGAACTCTGAACACAGCATGATTCTGGAACACATATTCCAAACCCGTTGACCTTGTTCCTCCTTGTTTGTTTATGTACGCTACTGTTGAAGAATTGTCTGACCTGATCTGAACATGTTGATTGTGGATCTGGATCAGCAATGAGAGCCAGCCAAACAACCTTCAGCTCTTTGTAATTTGATGAACTTCTTAAATCTTTTACTTGCCAAACTCCTTGTATCTTCTTATCTCCCAAATGAGCCCCGCAGCCGATTTGGGAAATGTCTGTTAAAATTTTGAATGACTTCATTTGGAAAGAAAGGCCTGATTGCAAGAAATGGGACAAGGACCACCAGAGAAAACTCTTCAGCGCCTGACTGTTGAGTTTCATAGGCCTGTCCAAGCTGTACGATTGCTTGTTCCAGATGCTTAAAATGTTTCTTTGAAGGGGTCTCATTCTGGCCTTTGCCCAGTTGACTGCTGGGAAAGAGGCTGTGAAAAGACCCAGCAAACTCATTGCTTCTCTGATGGAGCACAAACTTCTTTCTCTGAGTTTCTAAATAGCCAGAGCAATCTTCGTTCTTTTTTCTTCTGGAAGGAAGATCTTCATAGAGAGTGTGTCTATAATCAGACCCAGGAACTGAATTCTTTGGACTGGGACTAATTCAGGTTTTACGAAATTTATCAACCAACCATGATTTTTTAGTGAGTCTAAAAAGCCGTACTGAGGTCTAAATAAAGTTGTTCTTTTGAGTCTGCAATCAAAAGCCAGTCATCTAAATAAGGGATGACATTGACACATTTTCCCTTTAAATCTGCTGAAACGACTAACAGAATCTTTGTGAACACTCTTGGGGCTGAATAAAGACCAAAGGGAAGAACTCTGAACTGGTAATGTAGAGTCTGACTCTGGAAATTGATAGCGAACCTTAGGAATCTTTTACTGGGTTCTGCGATGGGAACATGTAAATAGGCATCTTTTAGATCCAGATAAATCAGCCAATTGCCTGGTTGAATAATGTGAGTTGCGGACTTCATTGTTTTCATATGAACCAAAAAGTCTTGAATAAGTGCCCAGAAATCTCTCTTTTAGATGCACACTTTCTATGACATTCTTTTGAAGAAGCTTTGACACTTCTCCCATTAGAGCCTTTTCTGTTGCAGTCGAGTGGACTGTAGAGCATAAAAAAAAAAAAATATTTTGGGGATCTCTGATAGATCCAGATAGTAACCATTCCTTATCACTGAAAGAATCCAGTGATCCGAGGTAGTTTTCTGCCAGTTATCCAGAAAAAGAGTGAGTCTTCCTCCAACAGGAATGGCGTCATAAATTTCTATTCCACTTGTCAGAGAACATCTCTTTTCTCCTGTAATCAAACACCTTCCTTTGTTGACCCCTGTAAGCATTTAAATAAGACTATTCTGTAAGATTTGAAATCCTTGTTTAGTTAATAAGTGAGTCGCTGAATTGTGTATTTTGTATGAAGATATATAGAGATATAGATAGAGATATAGAGATATAGAGATATAGAGATATAGAGAGAGAGAGATATAGAGATATAGAGATATAGAGAGAGAGAGATATATAGAGAGAGAGATATAGAGATATAGAGAGAGAGAGATATAGAGAGAGAGAGATATAGAGATATAGAGATATAGAGAGAGAGAGAGAGATATATCCTAGAGAGTCCTTGCAATCACGCTTTAAGTAATGATTGTCGGGTGCTTGAACTCGAGGGGAGGAAATATAGCCATAGCAGAAAGGTGACCAGCACTCACAGACTTTTGAAGTTAAAAATGCAGTCTTTATTGAAGATGCATTAAAATAAGATCAATGTTTCAATCCCCGTCCTGGACTTTCACAGATATAAAAAAAAAATTAACATTTATATCAGGACAGAATCAGAGGAAATTAAATTACCCTAGGTGCTGTGACTAGTACCGCTGGCGTTCCCAAGTGCAGTGTGCGCATGCGTTTACAAAACCCCATACTCATGGTTTTTTATATAAATAATTTGATTCTAAATGTATGTTATATATGTATACTTATATTATTTTATTAGTTATATATTGAGGGATCTAAAGGCAAAAGCACATACAGCGCTGACTCTAAAGATGGCAGCAAACTCTGTTAGTTGGATACCCTAACAATCCAAAGGCATAAAACAGATAAAAGGAAATTACTATACACTTAGTACAGTTATGATAGTGATAATAATATAGTCACAAAAGATAGGTAGCCTTGTTAGACGGTAAAATGTTGTTATTGATAAGGGTAGTGGTTGTGGTTGGTAGTTCAATGTATTCAAATGGATACATTCCAGGATATGAAATGACAAAAGAATAACACAGAAAACAACAATAGTGTGATATTGTTTGTGATCAATTCACAGGTAATAATTTATATAAAATACACTCACAAACAATTAAATTTGATTCTGACAATATAATCCTTGTCACAGGATTTTTGAGGAGGGTCAAACAGGATCTTTATATACACATTGGTAGATCTTGTGGTATTCCAATTCAGCTCTTAGTGAAAGCTTACAGCTGTATAATCCCCGCTCATGGATATAGTTAGAAAGGAATGTTCTATCATATTTTGCAATGGATATATAAAAAATAGAAATAAGGAGAAAATTGTTCTGTTTGAAATGTAAAACACACTCCATAAGTAGAAAAACAATGTACTCACACTTGAGGGAGTATGTATATGCTCATTGGTAACAGCTTGGGTGATACAATCCCCATCTGGGATATGTAAGTAAGTACAGTACAGCACAGCAGTGATGGCAGATAATTTTGAAATTAAAACAGTACCAAAAGAAAAAATATGTGAAAAATGTATGGTAAAATTAACTTTAAATAGGAATGTATCCATCCATTTCGGCCAAAGCTATTCCTGCCACAGAGTCCTCCATACAAAAGATGTTAAATGAACTGCAAACTTCCTTAAGAGCTGACTTTGCTCAAATGGTGAAAGAAATCCAGACAGATTTACAAGCCTTAGGAGAATGCACAGATTATCTAGAAAATAAAACAGAAGAGATTATATCAGCCCACAACAACGTAGCAGCGGCCTATGAAAATATGGACGCGAAACTAGCATCAATCATCATGAAACTGGCAGATCACGAGGACAGGGACTGATGGAATAATATTCGTATCCCTGGTAATTCAGACAATGTCAGCCCTAAAGACCTGGAAGCATATGCCAAGCAAATGTTTCAAATACTGGTCCCAGAACTCTGGGAGGAAGCACTAATGATGAATAGAATCCACAGATTGCCTAGACCCAAACAACTCCCTACCCGCTTACCACGAGACACCATCGCCATCTGCAATATTACACTACCAAGGAGGCGATAATGCAAGCAGCGAGACGACAACCAGCATTACCTGACAACTACAACAAGATGCACACACAGTGCTGCAATCATAGGAAAATCCTGTTCCTTTCTACCAGGCCAATGAATACACAGGGCAAAAGAGGGTCGGCTAATGAAACGTTAGTGATCCATATACAGCAAAATGCCCAGATGTTAGGGATAAAAATTGCACCAGAATATAACCCCCCCACCCCACCGATTGTTATATGTACCATCTTTGCTGTGCCGATTTTATATGTCCTTTGTTCTGTTTTTTTGTTTTATTGCTTTATTGTTCTATTGTTTAAGGCCAATGTTAGAGATGTAATACATGACTACTACTCCTTCAGCCTACTGACCGACTAGGCAACACATACTACCTACAGTAAACCCGGGATCAATAATCACCTGAGGCCTTTAAGGCATAAATAAAGGTACGTTTACCCCCACACAGCCATGCCTATTAATGGCATGGCTGTGATTGGCCAGTGCAGCATGTGACCCAGCCTCTATATAAAAGGTGGAGTCACGTAGTGCCACACGTCACATGAGCTCTTATTGGTGTAGGGAGAGGATGTTACATCTATGAGGGACAGATTAGGAAATAATTCTGGTGTTGAATTTGCAAACTACAGCGATTATTTTAGTGGGTGATATACTACATTTTTGTACCCTGCCCTGAGCCCAGTGCTACAGAGAGTGCAGTGCACTTGCAACTGCATGTGTGCCAGGCACATTACTTTAACCCTGTTCTGGTAGCTCAGTGGACAACAACATCTAGGCATTTTTTTGGTGCTAAATAGTACATTTGCATACTGAATTTCTTGCAGTCCAATAAAACCCTTAAATACTATTGTTACATTGTTGGTTTAAAAAAATGCAACATTTTGGTGCTAAATAGTACATTTGCGGCCTGCGGTGCACTTCATATCTGAGAGTCAAATAGAACCATCAAATACTGTGGTTACATTGCAGTTTGACTAATTCACATTTTTTTGGTGCTAAATAGTACATTTGGGGTGTGCACTTCATATCTGAGAGTCAAATAGAATCGTCAAATACTGTGGTTACATCGCACTTTGAAAAATGCACGTTTCTTTGGTGCTAGAAAGTACATTTGGGGTGTGGACTTCATATCTGGTGTATGTGTGCAACACTGGCTAGTTACCGCTTCTCAAGAAAGTCTAAGGACTTTTCAAAAAAGTGAAAAATAAGTGTTATTGTGACCGCTTCATATACAGAAGCATTAATATACATTTCTATTTTGTGTAAAGACACAACTACAAAGTTAAAGGAACACTATAGTCACCTAAATTACTTTATTTAAATAAATCAGTTTTAGTGTATAGAACATTCCCCTGCAATTTCACTGCTCAATTTATTTTCATTTAGGACTTAAATCACGATGTTTCTGTTTATGCAGCCCTAGCCACACCTCCCCTGGCTATGATTGACAGAGCCTGCATGAAAAAAAAAAAAACTGGTTTCACTTTCAAACAGATGTAATTTACCTTAAATAATTGTATCTCAATCTCTAAATTGAACTTTAATCACATAGAGGGGCTCTTGCAGGGTCTAGCAAGCTATTAACATAGCAGGGGATAAGACAATCTTAATTAAACAGAACTTGCAATAAAGAAAGCCTAAATAGGGCTCTCTTTATAGGAAGTGTTTATGGAAGGCTGTGCAAGTCACATGCAGGGAGGTGTGACTAGGGTTCATAAACAAAGGGATTTAACTCCTAAATGGCAGAGGATTGAGCAGTGAGGCTGCAGGGGCATGTTCTATACACCAAAACTGCTTCATTAAGCTAATGTTGTTCAGGTGACTATAGTGTCCCTTTAAAAACCAAACACCAAAACAACATGCCAGACAATCTACCTGTGCATGGCTAGTGTGATACAATAAGTCTACATCTTAAAAATGCAATAACCCACAGAAGATGGGCAATAATTTTTTTTTTTTGCAAATGGAACTTTGATTTGAATTTACTACATCGGTCACTTGTAATATTGTTTCACACCTACAACACTTGTTAAACAGATCTAAGTGATAGAAAACAGATTGATATTTTCTACACTAGAAACTACCAGATAACAATTGCTATATTTAAACCAGTTATCAACAGCAAAGAGGTACTTAAACAATATTGTAATTCTGGGGCAATACCCTCACAAGTCAAACTGAGAGGTCAGTTTATAGGGAAAACTGTTGCCTGGATAAAATTCTAAAATAATTTCCATAGGTCCTTTGCAGAGTTTACATCCTGGAAAATCACAAGTGCCAACTGCTGTGGCTTTCTGCAGTGTGCAGACCAGCAAGGAGGGCAGGGTTGAGGAGTGGGTGGAAGATGATGTGGAGGATGATGAGGTCCTAGACCCCACATGGAATGAAGGTCATGCGAGTGACGTATGCAGTTTGGAGGAAGAGGCGGTGGTCGCACAGAGGCACCAGCACAGCATAAGATGGAGCAGGGTGCAAAAGCGGAGCGGCGGGGGGCGTGGCCTGGACTCCGACGGAGGTGGCTGCCTAACTCACAAGCTCCGTCCCGCACAGCAAGAAACAGCGCACTAATAGCAGCAAACACTCTCCCAATGGGTTGCACTAAGCACCCAGATACCCATCAAACACCCAGGGGACAACAGAGCAGCTCGCAAACACCGAGCAGACCTCCACGAGACACCCAGGGCCCTAAGATGTCCGACAGCCAGGCCTCACCGCCTGAGACAGACACAAGCACTCTCCCTCGCAGACATAAGGGCAGACATCAGAGCCCTAACCAGCACTATGGTAACGAAAACCCACCTGAAGAGCACCTCTGACACCCTCCACGAGACGATCCGCTCAGAGGTCGCCATGCTGGGAAATGACACAGCGGCACAAGGCAACCGTATCTAAGTGCTAGAGGCTGTAGAACAGGCAATGACCGGCCACATAGAGGCTAATAACATAGCGATCACCAGACAAGGGACCATCCTACTACACCTCAGGCGCCAGGCAGAAGATCTTGATAACAGGGGGCACAGATCCAACATATGGGTACGCAATCTTCCTGAACCAAGTGGAGAAGAAAATGTGGAGGCCACACTTACAGCTCTGTTTGGTGAGATACTAAGACCAGACGCACCGCCCCGCATAAGGTTTGATCGGGCACACAAAGGAACAAGACCGAGGAATGCTGATAACTCACCCAGAGATATAGTCTGCTGTCTGCACGACTTCAGAGTAAAGGAGCTGATCATGTCCAAAGCCTGCTCTAAACCGATGTGGCAGTTTCAAGGAGCTGAGGTGGCCCTTTATCAGGACCTGTCACCCCTTACGCTGGAGGCCCGCAGGGCTCTAAGACCAGTAACTAAGCTATTAAGGAGCCGTAATATACCATATAAATGGGGCTTCCCCTTCAGCCTGCTAGCCCGACATAGCAATGAGTGGACTCCCTTAAGGTGGCCGGATGAGGTACCGTTATTCCTTAAGAGATTGGGCCTGCCACACACGGAAGTGGTCGACTGGATCCTGGGGCCAGTGGAGCAAAGACCTGGCCCCATGATGTAAAGAGCTGCAAGACGCCGCAGAGATGACTCGCCACGTAGACCACCAGCCCACAGACCCCTGAACCCGGCACAGCCAGTTGAATGACCAAGATACCAGCAAGCCACACAAGACAAGCTGCTGCGAGACCCCTATGACTAGCACTGAGGAGACACCGACAGATGAACACCCACGGATACTGGATGCAAGAACTACACAGATAAGTACTTTAACCTCCCCAGACATGCAACGACCCACAGACGGTATGACTGTCAATCCCCCCCACCACCTGAGACTTCTCTCACCACCGGACAAGGTAAACGACAGCACCGACCAAACCTACACCGGACTGCAACCATATGATAGACACTAGCATCCCTAACCGGCGGAACTGAAGCGCACATGGCGTGATGGGGGGGCTGACACCACTGTCCCCGAAGGGGAAGGGGTAGGTAAATTGAACAAGCCAGATGGGAGGTGATGGATGAAGGGGGGGGAGGTAAAACAAAAAAAAGGGGGGGAAAGGAGTGGGGGGGTGCAACATGCAAAAATGTATGTATAATGTGTGACAAATGATGCATTGGCTACTCAAGTTCCTGCAAGACCAGACAGGTATAACACCACCATGACTCCCCGACAGTTAGATCCATACTCAAGAACACCCACACAGGAGTCACCTGGATGCTACCTAGCGCCCGCCAAAAAAGACCACGCCCCCTGAACCGACCATCCCCCGACGGGTACACGACCCAACGGCGACGCAGCACACAGCTAAATGCTAAAGGCTAACTGCCCCGGTCAACCCCATCGCACAATCCCCCCAGAACAAGATGTAGATGAGGACGGACTGACTTTTAGGTGTCTACCCATGTGGGAGAGGGGACCGCACTGGCAATTAATGAACGCCAATAGACTAGACCCATGAGGGAGAGTACACATTCGCCCATAACCCATGCTTACACAGTGCACACACATAGTTGTTTACTAAGCGGACTAGGAGACTCATTGGACACCAGGAGATCCACCCACACCACCACTACAGTTGAACACGGGCCACGACCTGAACCAGACCTGTGTATACCAAAACTACTGGGGGAGCCACGGCTGCAGCTGCTCCGGTAACCACCGTGCAGTGGTACAGCCTTGGACATCCACTCAGTTACACGAGATTACCTCCCCACACACTAATCGGGGAGACACACACCACACCTACACCAACACACACACTACGAAAACACGAAGTAGACATAAGACACTGCCAGCGAGAAGGCAACAAAGTACACCACTCAGCTTCTGACCGAATTCCAGGCGACCCCTGTGCGTTGCCCCTGCGCTGGTGCACCCGCCCCTCTTTAACCTCCCCATGCAGGTGCAAAGCTGGCGGTCCGGTGGGTTCGGGCCCCTGGCCCACAAGGGGGTCAAAGGATCTCCCCACTGGCGGAACCCGTAAGAACATCCCTCCTGGGGCGAGCAAACGCCCAGATGGCATACTCCCCAGCACCACTGATTGTCAGGACGCAAAATTGCAGGGGACTCAATGCCCCACATCTCTTAACAGGGATCTAATTACAAAAAGAATACAGCTAACGGACATCATAGAACGCAAGCATGCAAGACAGGTACAACGCTCAAAAACATTTTTCTATAAAATACTAAGGGGCCCACAGAACAGGGCACAGGTACAAACCCTACGAACCAGGCAGGGCAAACTAATGCAATTCCCAGAGGAAATTGCGGACGAATTCAGGTCATTCTACACACAACTATAACATCCCTAACGCAGAAGGGGATGACACCTCAACAAGGAAACACGCAGACACAGACAGATACTTACGGAATTTCAACCCAGACTCTCTTACGCCGGAAGCGGAAGCATTGGACGCACCCGTAACCGAAGATGAAGTAAAGATGGCACTGAAATCAGCAAAAACTGGTAAGGCACCCGGCTCTGACGGTAGAATATTATAAGAAATTTGGCAAAGAACTTTTACCAACATTGGTGAAGGAACTAATTTGCCTACGGGACGGAACGACCTTCCACAGAGAGTCCCTGGCGGCGACGATTACGGTGATCCCCAAACCAGGCAAAAACACAGAACAAGTAGGTAATTACCGCCCAATCTCCCTCATCAACACAGATGTGAAACTCTTCTCCAAGGTGCTGGCATATCGACTGCAGGCCTACATGCCAAGACTGGTCCACCTGGACCAAACGGGTTTCATTCCGGGCAGGGAAGCTAGAAACAACACTCTGTTACCCTTTACAATCCAACACCTAGCAAAACACCTAAGGAAAAAGCTACTTATACTCTCCATGGATGCAGAAAAAGCATTCGATAGATTAGACTGGCGCTTTATGACAGAGACACTACGAAAAGGAGGAATTGGGGACAAAATGTTGGCATGGATCCATACGCTTTACCATCAGCCGAATGCCAAAGTTAGAGTGAACGGAGCACCAACAGATAACTTTGACATTAGAAATGGCACCAGGCAGGGTTGCCAGCTCTCGCCACTTCTATTTGCACTCACCCTGGAGCCGTTTCTCGATAGAATACGGAGAAACTCAACGATAGCTATATTAAAACAGGAACATAAAGTGGCTGCCTATCCTAGACGAAGCCCTCGAATCCATTCCACAGCTAATGAAAGAATTTCAGACTTACGGAAACCTATCTGGACTTAAGCTCAATCTAGCCACATGTGACATCTTAAATCTAATGGTACCAGAGGAGGACTGTGCATGACAAACAACAATTTCCCTTCCACTGGTGCACAGACCACATCAGATACCTAGGGCTATGGGTCACACCCAAGGCGAAGGACTTATACACTCACAACTATGTGCCCCTCCTAACCAACATCCTAGGCAATCTCAAGAGATGGAACTATAATCATATCTCATGGCAGGGATGAATAGCGGTCGTGAAGGTGAACATCCTGCCCAAAATACTGTATATGTTCCACACCATACCCCGGATGATACCGCAAACCTTCTTTAAAACGCTCAGAACAGCGATTCTTAGGTATGTATGGAAGGGGGACAGAGTCGGGATCAGCCACGAAAAACTGTGCCTTCCCAGAACATGGGGAGGACTTGCCCTGACAGACTTTGGCAAATATTATCAAGC